CTGTGTTAAACCCCATCCTATTCTCCTCTGCCCATCCTTGTAACCTATCTAGGTCCAACTGTAGCCTGTTGCTCCCAGTCAGCCATAATGTAGGTATAACCATCTGACTCCTGGACAGACCACCTGGAATGTGCATGAACATGAAGTCTGTTTGTTAGGGCTTTCACTGGGTCTCTCGGCACAGCATGGAACTAACTGGTGAAGAAACAGAAAGGGAACTGCATAGGCATCCTTGACTCATTACAGCATCTAAATATTATCTGAAAGGAAAACTACCATAAAAACCTTGTGACTAGAAATTTTATACTTGGAATCCACAGTAGCACACATGTAGATGCTGACCCAGCTGGCTGGGGCACACAGGTGCATCAGTGTGGGGGCTGCCTACTGGCTAGCCCCACACTGCAGTACCCTTGTGCCCTGGCCAGCTCCTCCACAGCATGTTGAGGCAGGTTGGAGGAGCCCCAGGCTGGCAGGCTGACCCCCACCTCTCCAGGCCCCCTGCCAGTTGGGGATGCTCCAACCTGGCTCAACGGTGCAAACCTGGGTGCACATGTAAATACACAAAAATTATGCAAAAATGAGGAAGTTAGTTAGAAATTAGCTTAAAGGAGCAATCAACAATATAAAAGGCCTCCAGGCAGCTTGGAAGCTGTTTAAAAATACCGTATTAGAGACTCAGGAAAAGTGTATACTAGAAACCAAAAAATGTACCAAATGGACTGTTAAAGCCCCCACATGGTTAATAGCAGAGTTAAGGAGACCATTCAAGGCAAAAAGTCATCCTTCAAAAAACAGAAGATGTGCCCAAATGAGGGAAACAGGAAAGCTCACAAACTCTGGCATGTCAAATGTAAAATAAAGCAGGCCAAAAAAGGATTTTTCAGAACTTTTAGGAAAAGCTGCTAAAAATAATAATAAAAACTTTAAAAAAATACATCAGAAGTGGGAAGCCAACTAGAAAACCAATAGGACCATTAGAGATCCAAGGTGTAAAAGGTGCAGTCATGGATGATAAGGCCAGAGCAGAGTAGCTAAACAAATTCTTTGCATCAGTGTTTACCACAGAAGATCCTGAGGAAATGTCCATGCCAGATCATCCTTTCTAGTAGATGGAAAGGTTCTTTAATGGGCTAAGAACTAGTTAAAAGGTAGGGCTAACTAGTCACCTTTCAGGATGGAGGAAGATCAAAAGTGGGGTCTCACAGGGATCTCTGCTGGGCCCAATTTTATTCAACATTTCCATCAATGGCCTGGAAATGGGACTGTATGGTGAAATATCCAAGTTTGTACAGGATACCAAATTATTCCAGGAGTCAAAGCCCAAGCTGATGGAGGGGAGCTGTAGAAAGATTTCCCCAAGATCAGACTGGACAAAAAATGGCTGATGAACTTCAGTGTTGACAAGTGCAAGGTAATTCACCTAGGAAAAAATAACCTCAAGTATACATACTAAGTGCTGGGTTCTGAACTAGCTGTTATGATCCAGGAAAGATACCTTGGTGTAACGGTAGATAGTTCTCTAAAAATGTCAGCTTAATGTGCAACAGCAACCAAAAAAGCCAATAAAATGTGACCTGAAGAAGAATGCCTTGCATTCAAAAGCTTGTCTAGCTCTATCCCAGCTATATAGTTGGTCCAATAAAAGTTATCACCCTAAACTTGCCTCTTGTATAAAAGGTTGGGCATCATTAAGAAGGGAACTGAAAATAAAATGAAGAACATCATCATACCATTAATCAAACCCATGATGCGCTCACATCTTGGATATGGAGCAGTTGCCATATGAGGAGAGAATAAAAATGCTAAGACTCTTCTGTTTGGAAAGGAGAAGGCTGAGGGGGATATGAAAGAGATCTATAAAATCAGGAAGGGTGTGGACAAAGTGAATAGGGAACTGTTGTTCACCAGGTCCCAGAATGCTAAAACTAGGGGAGCTCCATTGAAATTAGTAGGAGACATGTTTAAAACGAACACGAGAAAGTATTTTTTATGCAACACTTAGTTACCTTGTGGAATTCATTGCTACAGGAGGTTGTAGAAGCAGATAGCAGAGTCAGATTAAAAAAGGGACTAGAAAAAGTCATGGATGATAGATCTATTAATAGGTGTTGAACAGAATTGCTGGAGATGTTTCCTCTGGCATCTCTGAAACAATGACTGTGGATGCCAGGAAGGGTATTTGTAACAGAGTTGTGCTCTGTTACCTAAAGGGGACAAGCTAGCAGCACAGCAGCCTGCAGTCCCCATCAGGAATCACACAGCTAGCCAAAGGCCGCCTGATTGGAAAAGTGGGTCCAGCTGCTACACATAACAGCAGCAGGGCCAGCAATTTGCTACAGGCAGCTGGGGAGGGAACATTGCCTGGCTGGAGCTGCTACTTATAACATCTTGGAAGTATAGGGCAGGAACTATGGGGATGGCTGGAGGTTCCTGGTCCTGGGACAAGGCCTAAAACTACACCTTGCTGGGGCTGGATGGTGTGGAGGGACTGCCAGTGGAGGGGCAATCTCCAGAAAATGCCACACCTGTGCCTCCCTAGTGAAGGGTGAGTATGGGGCACCAGAAAGCCTCAGCCCTCACTGCTTTGTGGGTGACCCTGTGCAGGGAAAAGGCTAGGGGAGCACACCCCAAACACAAAGCAAGGGCCCAGGTTCACAGTGAGGCCTGAGGCAGGGCCCAGGTCAAGTGGAGAGACCTGAGGCAGCACCCAGGCTCACAGCAAGTCCTGGGGTGTATGAAGGTGCCAGGAGGAGTGTAGTGTGAGGCCCCAGGGGGGTAGTGTCCTATGCCCATGAGGGAGCTGGGTGTGAGGCCCAGTGTTGGGTAAGGGGATTGAGGCCCCAATATGGGGGTGTGAGGGGACCAAGAGGGTCCCAAGCTGGACAGAGAGCTAAAGAAAAGGGGGGGAGGGCTGAGAGCCCCAAGTAAATGAGATTGAGAGCCCAGTGTGAGGGAACAGGGATTGTGAGCCCAGCGTGAGGCGTGAGAGTCCCAAAATGAGGAACTGGAGTGCAGGTCCTAGTGTAGGCCCTTGGCATCAGGGCAAGTAAATGGGCAGCCTCCCACCTGGGTAATAACTTCCAATTAGTTATCAAAGGCATGGTAGGTAAGGCAGGCAGGCGGTTAACCCTGAGGCAAGTGGCCAGGCCGATGTTCAGACTGGCCCCAGGATGCTCCCTTGTTACAGTATTGAATAGGGGATAGATTACTGTAGATCGGGGTGGCACACATATGGCCCATGGGCTGGATCTGGCCCTTGGAGCTATATGATCCAGCCTGTGGGTCCCTGGACTGACTCCATGCACCAGCCCCAGCTCCATGTGCCGCATGGGGCATGCGAGCTAGACTCTGTGTGGCTCACACTGCAGGCAGCACAGGAGGTCAGTCCAGCGCACCACGTGCAGCCTGTGCCCCACACCCCTTGTGCCAAGTATAGTGCCGGGTCCAGCCCAAACACTGAGCACCTCATGTTGACCCTGGGCTTTGTTTCATGCCATGTATGGCACACAAGCTGGCCCCAGCACTTTGCCTGCTCCACAGGGGTCAGTCCCAGTCCAGCCCTCAGACTGGCTCAGGGACACTCATCTGGCCTGTGGAGCCAGATGAGTTTGACATGCCTGCTCCATCCAGAAGTATCTTGTTCAGTGCTCCCCCTTTGCAGCATGTATTTCTGCCACTGTTGGAGATAGGAAACTGGGCTGAATGGTTGAATAGTCCGACTCAGCATGGCACTTCTTATGTTCCTACATAGACACAGAGCCAGCAGCTTCCAGTCAATCTTTCTTCTATTGGAAAAATTCCATTTTCCTTGGAACAAATTGATTTAAATGAAATTTCATTTCTATTCCACTTCTATCTCGTGAGAAAAGAACATTTCAATTTTTCATTTTTTGTTCCAAAATTGATTTTTATCTTGTAAGTGATGAAAATCTAAAATAAAAGGCCAAAATCAGAATGAAACATTTTGATTTCACTGTAACAAAACATTTTGATTGGCCCAAAATTATTTTCTTCAAAAATGCCATCTGACACAACATTCTGATTTTTCTTGTTCAGGGTCCAATGTGGAACAAAAACCAAATTGTGGCATTTCAGAATTTCCTGCTGAACCAAAATTCTTGAGTTTTGACCAGTGCGCTGTACTGAAAACATTACAAAACTAAGAGTTTGTTTACTAAAGGAAACATTGCCGTATTCATAAAGTCATGCTTTATTGGTTTTGTTTAAATATGATTCACTGCTACATCAACATGAAGACAGCATACACAGAGCAGTGTAGAGTCCCTGTCACCAAAATCAAGTACTTAGTCTGTAAGTAACATCTAACCAGTCACTTCTTTCCCTACCTATCACATTTTAAAAAATCAGTCACCTGTAGGTCACCAAAGGGGTGGGATCCAAACTCTCACATCCCACTCACCACCCACAGAACCCCCACATTTATCATTCACTGCTATGTGAAGCACTCTTGCAGGAATGGCACTGGGACCTTTTACTGGTGAGTAATGGGCATGAATGGACCAAGTCAATGTTAATTTTTCAGTAATGGTATCTACCACATCTCCAGCCAAGCAGGACATCATGTTGTGTCACTCTACTTATACAGCACCTCTGCCTCCCTCCTGCACTGCTTCTCCACCCCTGCTCCCCATCAGCACCCTATTCCTTCCACCCCATCTGCTCAGAGCCTAGAAGGGGAGCAAAACTAGCCAGATCTGAAATGAATCAGTGATAGTTCTTCAGAGCTAGATAATTCCACTCCCATCCCTCCCCCTCTGCTGTGCTGATGTAAGAGACAAAGGAGATGCCTTTTTGCACCTCCTTGATCTAGAAGGCTACAAAATCACACACCCACTGCCATCTGTGTCCCTTACCCATGAGATCACCAGGGGTTCAATATTTTTGCCTCCCACAGAAGCACCAGGATAGAAGAGAGGACGGAGATTTCCAAAGAACTTGTCAGTGAATGTATAGATATGGGACCGGTCAGTCACATTGTAGAACGTAATCTCTCCAGCCTCATAGTCCAGAAAGATCCCAACCCGCCTAGGCCTCACACTCAGCTGGAGCGGGGTGGCAGGGGAAGTGAGGGCCTCATATTGGCCTCCATTCTGCAAACGCATCATCCAGTAGCCATTGCTGGGCAGCAAGACAATTGTTCCCTTCCTGGTGGCTGACTCCCTGCATATCCCCAATCCCCATTCTGTCTTGTCTCCCACCTGCACTTCCCAGTAGCCCCGGCCTGTGTAGAAGACCTGAGATCCCAGCACCAGTGGGGTGGTATTAAACCTCTTGGGATTATCAAACAGAGATAGGACCAGCTTCTTGCCACCACGTCTCACACATTTTCGGTCACCAGACAGGATGAGTTCAGGATGAGCTGTCTCTGGGTCCAGAGTCACATCCTCTGCAGGCAGAGAGAGGAAAAGAAAAGAGGGACACATGGATCAGATGTCACTTTAGGGGAAGAGCCATAGGCATCGTTGTCCCAATCCAGCAGTACACGGCCTGTCCACAGTGATTGTAAATTTGGGGACATCTAAAATACAAGGGCATCTCATTTCCACAGAAATATGGCACTTTCACTAACCATCTGGGATCAAAATGAGAAAAGGCTTAACCTGCAATGACTGTCAATGGGAAGGAATTGCTCCAATACCTGAAAGGCTAGGGTGCTGTGGAAGCTCAGAGTATGAGGCAATTACCACAGGGGATTACAGGCAATTACCACAGGGTAGCTGACACGTGACAAAGTCCAGATTCTTTTGTCAGGTAGCAATACACCCATCCGCCCAGACCCGTCATGCATGTGGAGATGAGACTCAGGAGTCAGCCTCCACACAGAGCTAAGGAGCAGCATAGCCAGCTAGTTCTCTTTACCTTTGAATTTCTTCAGCAGGTCTCTCATACCAAGGCAATGCACTGGGATGCTGTAGTTCTCTCTCAGGGCCACAGAAAAAGTTTCTGGGGCCTGATATTTCATATCTTCATACCTGTAAAGAACACATTCCCTGTGGTCAGCACAGAACCCCCTGTGCCTCACAAGCCAAAGACTAGCATCGGGAAGATAAAGCAGCAAGTCTCCTATGCTGAGCTGGTTTAATTTTTAAATATTCTTATACCAGTCATGTCTGAAATTTTCCACCCTCTAATGCCAGTCAATGCCCCCAACACTGCACTGAAGCCACTTTCTGGCAACAGCACAAGGGCATAAGGACAGAACAAGGAGCTAACATAACACCCCTTACCCCTTGCTTATGTTAGCACAGATGCTAGTGTTACCTCCCCCGACAATTCAGAACTGCCTTTATGGGCCTGTGAACCCATTAGCACCATACCATGACACACACAGTGACCGGCCTGACTGTGAATGAGGATTGGGGCCAGCAAGTTTGTAGCAGCAATATCCACTGTCTTTATGAATTCAGAATTTTATAGTAATTGCATAAGCATTAGGGGCATGCAAAGCGAGACCTATTCAATTTGGATTTGGATTCGGCCCAAATCAGGGACAGTGATTTGATTCGTTGATTCGGATCACTGTCCCTCATTCAATTCAGCCGAATCTGAAGATTTGATACTGATTCGGAGAATCAGCAATTCAGACATAGACACAACTTTAAAAGTTTTTTCTACATACCTTGAGGTAGCAGGAGCAGCTTGTGATCACTGCGATGCTGGGATGTATGGAGCATCCCACAGGAGTGCGGGGAGAGGGCCCTCAACATGTTCAGTGGCGAACCCGCAAGTAGATCACAAGTACTTCCATTCCACTTCTGGGTCTGCTGGGGAGCATGCAGGGTCCCCCACACACACCCCACTGCCTTGGTGATCAGCCACGGGAGACCCCGGGTGCTCCCTCCAGATTCAGGAGGCATGGGGGCCCCCCAGCTCGCTCCCCAGCAGATCCAGAAGTGGAACATGAAGTGCTTCTGGTCCATTCCAGGTCTGTTGCCGAGTGCACTGGAGAGCCCATGTGCTCCTGTGGGACACTCCATGCTCCCCCACATCGCAGCCCCTGGTACCTAGAGGTATGTAGAAAGGACGTGGGGGGGTGTCTCTATGGCCCAGTCGCCAAATCAATTCGGAGGGTTCCGATTCAATTCAGAGAGATTAAAGGGTCCTCTGATTCAGTTCAGATTTGGAGATTCAGCCACCAAATCAGGCCGAATCTCTGCCAAATCAAAACAAGGACTAAGCTTCACACAGCCCTAATAAGCATATCAGGGACGTAATTCCCAAAACTATGCTCATCCAATCAGGGAAGAGAACAGTTACCAGGGGATGCATGTGTCCAATCAAAATAGCTTAAAAATGTAATGGAAATAGGAATTTTAAATTTGAACATGAATTGGGCACAAAAACCTACCCTCAAATGAGCTATAGACCAAGGGCTGGTAAAAGGAATCCATGCCCAGAGAAAGAAGTGTAATTAACCACAGTGATTCATGGTTTTGGGAGATATTCTTCTAGTTCTGAGAGTGACACAGCATTTTACATTCCTACCATGATTCAAGGCACAGCACTGTGCAAGTAAGAGACAGTATTTGTCCCTCAAGTGCAGCCACTTCAGGAGTGGAAAATAGTAAGCATCCACCACATCACATAGTGCACAATACTGAGATGGGACTGTAGCTCCAGGATACCAGTATGACCCCCCTTAATAATGGATTTTGCCCTGTCCATGCAGAGCAGCCAGGACTCCTCTTGCTTTGATCCCACTATTAGTAAACTTCAGGCGACCTGTTGTCAAAACCCAGGGCTGAAGCTGGAGCCATGAGTACAAACTGCAGTACTTACACCTATCAACAATTCTGCACAAAGTGCAAAAATAAGCACAAACCTGCGCAAAATGCTTTTCATGTCCTAAAAGGAAACAAAAGAAAAAAGTTCATAGCTGTAGTCACTTCATGGCTACACAATAGTCAGTCAGTGCCATTAGCTTCTAACCCACCCTCAAGCATAAGGTGGATAGCCCAGTGGTGAAGGCATTAGACCAGGGTTGGTTAGGCCTTCACTCAAGTTATTCCTCTGCAACAGACTGCTGGGTAGTAGTCCTGAGAGTATGTTTACATTGTAGAAGTGGATACATCCCTGGACTAGCTTTCATCAGATGGATTAGGAACTAGTTAGCAGTCTAGCATCTACAATATGGAACTGAGGGCTAGCTAACTAACTTAGTTTCTCAGATGGGTTTTGCTGTTCTAAGCCACACACAACCACTGCTGTAGATCTAGCCACAGTCATTTCAATCCATATTTCTGATGGTGTTTAGGCACACCTATCTCAATGAAGTCACTGGGAATGAAACACCCAAATACCTGGAAAAATCCAACTCTTAGGACAGTGGCTGGTAACTTTGTTAGACTCAAGACAACCCTCAGAAAATGTCAGCTCTTAGTTTTCACTTGTTTTTTGACCACGGAAAAATAAAGAGCAAATTTTCTGTTGCAAAAACTCAGAAAGATCACAACAGATCAGAATTTAGGATTTCCAGCCAGGCCAGGAGCAAGCAGAACTACTTCCCCCCCCACTTCCCCACTGCCTGGGTGCACAGGTACAACACTCTGCAGCTTACTGAAGGGAAGTGCAGAAGTTGGGCTTGCTCTGAACACCTGGAAGCTGTGGCAGGAGCTGTGCTTCCTTGAAGAACAATCCTGCACACACACTGCTTTTAGGAGAGGACAAAAGCTGGTAGGTCCTAGGAAACTGGAAGCATGTACCCCCTGACTTCAGCAGCAGGGTCCTGCTTCATGCTGTCTACCAGGAGGCTGAGGAATTTTGTTGCATACTCACACAAAGTAGCCCACCCGCTGGCAGCTGAAATTTCTCTCTTATTTCCATGATCAGCTTGTCCAGAGAGGATCTTTGCTCCAAAATCCTAGCTAAGTTTTCATTGATCTTCAGCAGAATCTTCTTCTCCTCCTCTTCCAGCTTCTGTAAAAGCAGCTTCTCCTCCTCAGCCAGCAGCTGATGCAGTTTCCCAAACTCAGTCACAATCTTCTCACGCTTATTCTTAACTATCTCCTTCCAAGACACAGGCACAAGAAGAGGAGATGTCAGAGTTGTGATTTAATATCAGAAAGCAAATTGAATGCTGGGTTAACCCAGCTGCAAAGAGGTCTGCTATTACAGTTCCAGTCTTGTCTCTCACACTTATGAAGGACTAGGCTCTAAGGGCATCTTTACACGTGGTCTGGGGTGGGGGTGAGAGTGCTTTAATTAGAGAGGTTCTAATTAAAGCCCAGGCAGGAGTGGGCAAGGCTCAGCCCTATGTGGAGCACCATGCGGCCAGTTTTGGGCCAGATTGGTGGCATGCACCCAGATGCACCTGTACCGCACCGTCCAAGTAAGCTTCACAGCACATGCCCCCTTCCCCCCACTTCCCATCCCCCATCCCCAGCCAGCTCACAGGACCTAGCACGCAGGCAGTCCCCCCTAAACATACACCCACTCCCCCACATACACCTCCCCATACACATCCCAGCCCATACCCTCCCAACATACAATATACAAGAGTTAGACTTTATTTTGAGCTATTATGCAATCATCTCTATATACACTACTCAAAAAAACATAAATCAGATCAAAATTATATTTTGAAATAAGATGAAAATATGTTATCGTAGATGTTTGATTTTTAGTATATGGTTTGTTTCTTATCTATAATTTGTTAAAATTATATCTTCTGAAGGATTTTATGAAAAATTATATCTTCTGAAAGGTTTTGTGTGGCCCTCAACAGCTCACAAACAGATATTAAGTAGCCCACCAGCCAAAAATAATTGACCACCCCTGGTCTTAGTATAATTTCACCAGTTCTTGCAAAATAGAGAAATCTAGTGAATGAATGATGAACTCCAAGTAAAGACCACTGGACTTTTAGCAGAAAAGAGTGCACAGATAGTGTACATCCAGTCACAGGTTTAGACTAGGGGTCAGCAACATATGGCCCACAGGACACATTTGGCAGGCCAGCTGAAGGAGGGGACAGGTGATACAGCTTCAGATAAAGCAGGGAACAAACAGAAAGCAGAGCAGTAGATTGGGGGCAGGGGCTGGAAGTGGCACTTGGTGAGGGTGCAAGGCTACTTGGTGGAATACTTGCCAAAAAGTTGGGATGCCCCCACTGGACTATCAATCAGAGCAGATTTCCTTGTCAAAACACTATTTCTCATTCTTATTTATTTGGTTACCATCTCAGCCTAAAGCAAGAGGGAATCATTTACACATTGTTTAAATCAAGGGGCCCATAGATGTTAGCGGACATTAAGGAATAGGAAGTTGCTTCCATATTCTACAGAAGGGGGCTCAAAAACCAAAGGCTCTTTGAATCCATTCACCTGCTCTGGACAAGCCACTCTTCTCCCTTCATACCCTATGAGATCTTCCTAACATGAGGCAGGTGGCAGGGTAAATAAGCTTGCACTGATGCTGTCTGTGCACATCAGCTCTGCAGGCTGCTGAGTCCAACCCGCATCTTCACAACATAGCCAGTTCTTGAGAGTGGCACTTGGTATTGCTCCCTCAGGGGATGGACCCCATTGACTGTATGAAAACATCAGCTTCCCTTTTGTTTTTAAAAGATGTTTATAGCCCATCTGGGTTCATTTGGAAGCTTGAAATTATAAAGTAAGTGTATGCAAGGAGCAGGAACCAGACCTGTAGTCAGTCCAGGCTAGCACCAGATGTAGTGAAGAGAGACCAAATAACCTATCCCCACACAAATTCTCTTCCTGGTTTCCTTAGAGATTGGCTTAAATATTAAAGCAAAAGGGAAAATACCCATAGGAAGCAGAAGGCTGAGGCTAATGGGGCTTAGCCCCCCCCAAACACAAATAGCCCAGGCGTGAGCTCCAGCTGGCTGCAGCAGGGCGGGAGGATGGGCATGCACAGAGATGAGCAGCTGGAGCCTACAGGCACCAGCAACTCAGCCTAGCCCAGCTGTGTGTGGAGTAGAGCCCAGCAGGTAAATGTGTGGATGGGAAGGGAAAGGGGAGGGAGGGAGGGAGAGGAGGGAAGGGGCCTGGGGGTGCAGATCGAGGCCCACTACCAGGAGGTTGTGAATAGGGCCCCAGGGCAGGGTGTGGGATGCTTGGAGCCCAGGCAGCTTGTCCAGGGATGTAGGGGGGCTCCCTCCACTGCGCACACCCCTGGGGCAGGCACACGGAGCACATGCACCCCAGATCTGTGTGTGGGATAGAGGCAGCTGTCACCATGGGCTGGGCTCTGCACCTCACCACCAGTTACCTCAGCAGCCACGTGACACCACATGCCTCTCACCGCTGGGCAGGCAGTGCAGCCAGCGCACAGGAGGCATATGGCACCGTGCTATTCATGGGGCAACACCTGAGGGTGCAGAGCCCAGCCCACAGAAGCAGCTGCCTCCACCCCATGCACAATCGGGGGTGGCATGTGCCCCCTGTGCCTACCTTGGTAATGTATGCAACAGCAGGAGCCCCCCCGCACCCCTGGATAAGCCTCCCAGGCTCCGAGCATTCCACAACCCACCCCGGCCCAGGGCCCCATTCACCCCAGCCCCTGCCCCTGTCACTGTGCCACTCCCTCCCTTCTCGTGAGGGGCCTCGATCTGCCCCTCACCCCTTCTCCACAACTGACCTACCTGCTGGGCAGGGTGCATGCACACACAACTGCACATGCACTCAGTCCCCCTAAATCATATTTTCTTCCTCTGCCTATGAAAATATTGCTTCCAAAATGTTGCCCATATTATCATAAATACTCAGCAACCAGAGCACAAGTAAAAAAAGCTCAGACTTGCTATTGTTTAATATAATATCATGATTTTAAAACCAATTAGATATTTCCATGGGTACAATTCTCAAATTTTGAGTAGTCAAGGTAGACCCTACCATTTCTTCACACACTGATTTACGTGAATTTTTTTTTTCATGAAAACCAAACAGTGCCCTTCATATGCCAATACAGGGCATCCTATGGGCTCTGGGGTGTGATCCTGGAAAGCAACTTCTTAATCTTTGACATAACCATGGGTCACAGTGACACAGCACATTGCATAACATCCTCCTGTCCCATATGTCCCCACCTCATTGCCAATGTTGCAGCAAACAGATGATGTCAACTTAATGATCACATGGTATAAACAAGCACATCTGTTTACTAGTAACCCCTTGAGTTATTGAGCACAACCCTCCTGTTTGGACTATACAAAAGAGCAGATCATAAAATCAGAATGACCTGCCCGTGAAAAGCTATTAAAACTGTGAATGCCTAAAAGACACATCTCATTTTATCTACTGCTGCTCTTTGATGTGTCACTGCATTTGTCGCTGCTCAGTATAACAAATTAAAGTTGGTTTCACTCCCATTTATAGTCACTTGTATTTTCTGGGTTCCTATCCTCCCCACCTCCAGTGTTTGATCATTACTTTAAAAAAAACAAACAAACCACACACACAAAAAACTGTTGTTCCTGTCTTGCCATGCGTGACATTTTCTCATATCTGTCCAAGTCTGGAGTTGTTCTTAAAGCTTTGGGTGCTAAACTCCTAGGTTTTTTTTCACAAGATTGTCATCTCTTTTTTAATAAGAAGCAGCTTTTAGATTTGTGATAGGGAGTAAAGCTTGAAATGGTCTCAAATGAATCCTAGAAACTAAAAGACGAACAGAACCTTGAATAAATTTTTTTTTATTATTTCATGAATTTTAAGCTATCTCATGGGTTTTGGACAGCTGGGGTAATCAAGTCTATTCTCACAGAAAGGGTTTTTAAAAGGGTGAACAATTTTACCCATCTTCTATTTCCTCTCAGCTTGAATTTTAGAAGCATACTTAAATTGCACAACTTCTATGTGAAATCATTATAACTCCTCTTGTTGTAGGTGACCCTGAACATAGATGACACATACGTGTCTACAGCCCCATGCCTCACATCCTGCCATTAGCACAGTAATTGTGTCACCACCACCACCCGCATTGCTTCTGGGCCATAGCTGGGGCTGAGCTACAGCCCCATGCCCCACTGTCAGCACAGAAAGCTGGGGGGCCACACCCCCCCGTACCCTCCCACACTACACCTATGACCCTTAAGATCACTACAAAGAACTAAAAAAAAAAGATGATTGTTTTCTATTGTATTCCAATTTTGTCTATTTTGTGTATCTCCAAAAACTGAATCTCCAGTAACTGTTTTTCCTGTGTAGTTAGTTTCTTTTATGTGGGTTTTTCACATGCAACAGATAGAATAAATATTTTAAAAAAAATACAAAAATACATAAATGTTACTGAAAAACAACAAAAAAAAAAAGACTGAGAATTAAATATGGATCCTGAGACTATTTATTATTTCTAAATATGATAAAAAATATTTAAATTGCTAAATTCCAAATCTCTGGTATCCTCCTGAATGAAGTTTTGATGACAGTTAATGGAGAGTTAATACAGAAACCAGGCACCTGCCTTGCATTTCTGAGCTTTCATCCTTTCCAATGACTCCCATTTTTTAACTTCATCCACCTCTTTTGATAAATGATCCAAAGATTTCTGCAGTTTAATCTGATAAGAAAAACAAACCCAGTCAGTTCACCCTTAACCAATTACGTCAACCATTTGCATTCCCTTTTACACCTAAATGCCAACTGGTAAGAAGTAAGAAAGAATGAGTGAGTACAATGGGAAGGGCAAATGGAGAGTTAATGTCCTACCAGCTGATTCTTCCAGCCCACAATCCCTGCATGTAAGCAGGCAGCTGCTGCCTTCACTCAGCTCAGAGAATGTTAACTGTGTCTCTGCCAGTCCCTGAAGAAGGAGCACAGCCCCATAACCAGAGCTGAGGTTCTTAACTACTAGCAGCTGTTTCATGCCTTTCCATCACAGGGTCTACTTTAGGAGCAGAAAGGTAATTCATGCACCTGCGCTCCTTGGCATGGCACATGGTTTTTCTCCACGGAGTGACTGTGTGTCCAAAATCAGACATTTCTCCACTGTGCAAGCAAAACCAGATTTAGGATTAAAGTGCCTGATTTACAACACTGGGCTAGATTCCTGTCCTCACTGCTCTGTGCCACTGAGCCACCACCAAGCAGCCAAAAGCTGGCTTTACAGACCACATGGGAGATAATTGTGTGAGGAGATCCCCAGAGGGACATAGGGCTGGGGCTGCAGCCAGGGCGGGCCCATCCATGCCTGCAAAACCTGCAGCCACAGGGGGCCCTGCAGCCAAGGGGCCATGTGCAACCAGTGACTCACCACACTCCCTCCTGCCACCGCTGCCAGTTGGTCGGCCCCAGCCCACATTAATGCATGAGAAAACTGGGCACATGCCCAGGGGCCCCTTCCAATTTGGGTCCCTGGGATCCTCACCAGCAGGGAAGTGAAAGCAACAGTTTTAAACTGGGTCCATGGGTACCAAGTTGTTCTTTGGTGTGTAGATTAGGTAAAATTCCTTCCCTGGAGGTGTCAGATGGCAGGCAGGGAGGTAAAAAAATCTTTCTTGTTCTGAAATGAAGTTTAAAATCCACAATTGGCTAAAATTCGGCATTTTCCATGTTTCAGGGATGTACTTGGTAGCCGTGTTGTTCTGAGAGAAGAAGAAATACAAAAGTCTAGAACTCTTGGTTCCAAAATGATACCTCTTATTTGAACAACTGGGAAATCACAAGACAAAGCTGTACGCAGCAGGACAGCTTTCCATCTCCAGTTCCTTCTGTGCAAAAATGAAGTTTACTTGCTACCTATGAGGACTTTTTACCATTGATACTTTTCCCTGAGCTTGATGAAGGGCCTTGGAGCCAGAAAGCTTGCAGACAAGGACAATTTTCTTGTGATTTCCTAGTTGGTCTAATAAGAGGTATCATTTTGGAACCAAGAGTTCTAGATTTTTGTATTTCTTCTATGTTTATGTTTAGTCCATGATTTTTTTGTATCCAGGAAGCTGATGAAGTAAAGTTCGTAGGCTCGTCTGTGAAAAGCGTTTTGTGAATTCCCTTTAAAAAATAATACTGAGAGATTGGAGACAGAGTGGTTTTCTCATGAGAAATGTCCTTGCACAAGTAGTTGGGTATTCTTGTCTTTGATAGATTTCCAGTGTGTGTTCATTCTGGTGAGCAGTTGTTGTTTGTTCTCTCCTTCACATTTTCCATCAGGGCTTTTGGTGCATTAGATGAGATATATAACATTCCTGGAGGTGCAGGTGTAAGATCCAGGAATGCTGATGGTTCTGTTCTGGGATGTAGTTATTGTGGGGGTGGTGGAGACATGTTGGCAGGTTTTGCATTTCTTTTCATGGCATGGTCTGGAACCATTTGGTGTGTTTTGGACTGTAGGAAGTTTGCTTCTGGTGACGAGGTTAGCGAGTCTCAGTGCTTGTTTGAAGGCTAAGATGGATGGATCTGGGAACATCTCTTAAAGAGCTGGGTTGCAATTGTTTGAGGATTTTCTCTATAGGTTCGAAGGAGGAGTGATATGTCATAACCAGTGGTGGGCGATCCATGGAGATTTTCCTTCTGCACTGCAGCAGTTCTTCACATGGTATCCAGGTGGCTCTTTCAAATGTACATCTATCTCTCTAGAGGAGTGTCCTTGTTGTGTGAAAGCCTTTTTAAGATTTGTGAGGTAGCAATCCCGGGTGTTCTCCTCAGTGCAAATTCAGTGGGATCTGAGGGCTTAGCTGTATATTACAGTTTTCTTGGTGTGTTTATAGTGATTACTGGTTCTGTGCAGATGCATATGTTGGTCTGCAGGTTTCTTGTATAGCATGGTCTGTATTTTACCATTCTGGATGCTGATCATCATAGCTGAAAAAGAGATGTTGGTGCTGGAGTACTGAAGAGATAGTCGGATGAAGGGGTGATGATTGCTGAATTTCTGATGGAACTCAATCAGAGATTGCAGGTTTTCAGTCCAAATGATGAAGATGTCATCAATATATATTAAGTATAGCAAGGGGTTGGTGGTGCAGTCTTTGAGGAATTCTTCTTCCAAGTGGCTCATAAAAAGGTTGGCATATTGTGGGGCCATTTTGGGGCCCATAGCTGTGCCCATGATCTGGAGGAAGTGTTGGTTATTCAAAGTGAAATTTGTGTGTGTGAGGATGAAGTGTATAAGGTCAGTAATATCTTTGGGTCTGTACTCAGAGTTGTCATCTTGCTCTTGTAGGTATGTAAGGCAAGCTTGGATGCTGTCCTGGTGTGGGATATTGTTATATAAGCTGGTAACATCCATTAGGGCTGTGCAAAGATTCAGGTGCTGATTTGATTTGGAAGAGATTCTTCCCAATTCAGCATCCAAATCTCTGAATTCGAATCACATCAGGAGACCAATTAAAAGGTCTAAATTGATCTGAAGAGCTTCGGCAATTCAGGCAGTCCCCGCTTGCTGCCACAGGGAGCTGGACCTAGACTTAGTGCTGGTAAGTAGGGGGCGGGGGGG